GTAAAGTTATATTCGGAAAGAATAAATCAGTTTTATTAAGTAAAGAACTTGTGTCGCTTAAGTTTCGTCGGAACGAAGTTACGGAAAATCAATTAACAAACGGAGACGTAACAATATGTATATATAGTATGTCACTCATCTGAGTGCTAAGTGATTTCCACATTAAGATTAAAAATACTTTTCTCCATCTCAAAAACCTCAAAAATTAGAGATTAAAGCAACTTCTCATCCCAGTAATATTGAAATTTATTGGTTAAAGTCATGTTTGTTCATTTGCCTAAAATGTTAATTTTTAAGTTAATGGTAAAATTGTGTCTAAAGTTAAGGAAAAAAAAGCATTATTTTGAATGAAAGTACAGATTTTATTGCTTCCTTATCATTTATATTTGTTTTCACTGAATGACTTATTTCCAAATCCTTTATGCTTGTTTCTAAAATTATGGGCATATTTAACTAAGCAACCTTCTGAAATTGTCAAATCCTGCTATGTATAGTTTCCTTTCACAGTTGTGTGTAATTAAACATATCTGAAGGCAGATAAGTTGGAAAAAAACTAACATTTGATTTTCATAGTTTCTGCATATTATTCAGCATGCTGAAAGAAACTCAAAGGAAACAATAATAATATAATGTTTGTTACAGAAAGGAACAAGCCCAATCCAGTACATTGCTGCACATCTGTCAAAGATATATGGTTTAGATTGGAGCCCAACACAAGAGCATCAGTTGGCATCTTGTGGCCAGGACTACAGTGTAAAGGTGACTTTTAGGAATGAATTAAATGAAAATGCCAGCATGCTAATGATTTAGTGTGTGCATTTGTACATTTAACCATCAGCTGATATTTTATAGTATATACCATAAGTGTAGAGGTAATTGTAAAGAATAAAGCAAGTACTGTTACCATAGGAATATTATAATTGATTTTATATAATTAACTTGTAAATTTTGGTGGTAATATAACATATGAAACTTGTAAAATGATGCTACTTTTATCCAGAATATTTTAATTGTATGCCTCATTTTTATGTAAGCTTCAAAAAGATTTTTAAATTTAATTTAAATTTAATTATTTTATATCTTCTAGAAAAATATTCTGTTTTAGTAAATAAATGTTGAACTATATTTTATAACATCTCTAACCTGTTTAAGTCATAATAGTAATGTATAGTTTTTAAGAGCTTTTTTCAACACCAGAATTTAATCAAAAACATACAAGTAATAGTAACTTTTAGATTCTTTTTTTAAATGAAAATTGGAGATGTAATGAATATTTGATATATACCTGTCGTTTTAGTTCTGGGATGTGACAAATCCTAGAAAGGTTGAGAGCACTTTAGTATCTGGAGCTCCAGTTTGGAGAGCTAGATATACTGTAAGTAGATTTTCTGTTACATTTTTAGTAACTTTTAAGATTAAAGTAAAAAGTAAGGGAATAACCTTGTTAGATTATTTATTCTTTTACCAAGAAGGAAAAGGTTTTCATGTTTCAAGTCCAATATATATATTACATATAATTGATATATATATGTATATAAGAGAAATGTGTTATGTTATAGATATATTTTTCTCTCATTGTTTTTTTCTGGAAGATGTATGGATATGATAAAGATTGGTAGGTCGTTTTAACATTGTTTTAAGATTGAAAAAAGTGTTGAGGTAGCATATGATTATACCTAAGCTTATTTTAGTGACCTATGGTTTTTGTTTAGAATGTAAAGTATAGGATGTTTTATGTTCTTGTTGTCTGTGATGTGCTTTTCTATCTGATTTTAGCAATTAATATTACTTTGTCACAGATGTTTACATCTTTATATCATCAAAACTGTTTGGCATTTTCGTATGATTGTATTATGACTGCTATACGAGCAGAAAAGCATTTTCATCATTAAAGATTTTAGAAAGTTTTAAACTTTTTTCATGATTTTATTTGGATATTTGTTTCAAGCCATTTGGAGAAGGGATGATCACAGCTGTCGTTCCTCAGCTGAGACGGGGAGAGAACAGTCTCATTCTCTGGAATACTTCTAACTTGAGTAATCCTGTTCACACTTTTGTGGGTCACTCTGATGTTGTCCTGGAATTTGAGTGGAGTAAGTTAGGAGAAGGTAATTGTTAAAATTGTTCTTTTTTATTATTACTTGTGAAAACTGTGATTGTATTAAGAATTCTTGCTTTCTTGTTTGAAAACCTAAAGACTTGACACTTAGTAATCTTTTTGTCAGTAAATTAATAAACTTAGTGACATTGAAGTAAGACATTTTTGTCGAGGATAAAAGAATGGTATATTTATTAAATAGTTTTTATCACAGGTTTTTGTAGTGATTATCTATATAAGAATTTCAGTGCATAGTTAAGGTGAGGCAATTATTATCCGATTTTGTTTTAGGTTTAAAATTCAAATATCAATTTAAATGGTGTAGGTTACACAGTTTAAAATATATTTTACTGATTAAATTAATTAGTGGATTTTTTGCAGCTTCTAAAATATGCATTGACTCTTAAAGAAATGTAAAATGAATATACATGATTGTTAATGTAGTGAAAAATCCAAGAATTGGTTATAGTATAACATAAAAAGTACTAATGCTCTCTCTGATTATTTTTGCATACAAGATATGATTCATTGATTTTTTTTTTGGTAAAGTTGTAGTTTACAATTGTTAAATATTTTCTGATATTTTACTAAAATAGGTTATTTTATCTGTACACTAATCTTTTATTCTTTTAAAAAAAGAATCTAAAGATTATCAACTCCTGACGTGGTCTAAGGATCAAAGCTTACGTATTTGGAGCATTGATTCCCAGCTACAGCAGGTTAGTTTTTAGCCTATGGTTTATGTCAGATTTAAGTAAAACAATTTTTGGTATATAGAAATCAAAGTTTCCAAATATGTGAATTTTTCTCATATAACCAGAATCCAGATAAATTAAGGAAGGTAGCATTTGTGTTCTGCATATATATGGTCCACTGTAGTGGTAATTTTGCCAAATATACTCACTCTGAAGCATCAGTTGGCATCTTGTAGCCAGGACTACAGTGTGAAGATGATCTTAAGGAATAAATGAAACTATAGCCATGGCAACAATTTATTGTGTACCTGTGTACATTTTAAACTATAGTCTAGGTTCAGACTCTTCAACAATAATTTACATCAATTAGTTCAAATATTCCAAATATTAAAATTGCTGAGATAGGTGAAAATAAAAACAAAGCATTGGAATTACGACAAGTACTGGTTATTGAGTTTGTAAACATAAACTGACAATTTCAGTATTTAGGGATTTTATAAATATTACAGTAAAAAGTTAATATTTATTTATGTGAATCTGTTATGCTATGACCTCTGAGAGATTTGAAATATTTTTTTTGTACTTCATTAGTTTTCTGATATTATTATGAGGGTTTTCAAGTATTAAGTGTGCATGTTTCTTAGCTTGGTTCTTAGTGAATCAGAAAAATAAGGAAGTCTGTTTTTACTTCTACATTTAGTTCCTGTAATTTCTTAAGTTTTCTTCTCTCATTTATTGTGCTTTTAGTTTCGTATTTCAAATGAAAGAAAAGAAACCGTTATGTGCTTTTCATGGGTTAGTTTCATATCTTAAATGAAAGAAGAAAAAAACCTTTTAATATTGTTTGTTTATTCTTCCACATATAAGTAGTTGTTGAATCGTATTTTGTCAAACAGCTGTGTGGACATGAAGTGTTTCTTGAGGAAGAAGGAGAATTTCTTTCTCTTGGAGCAGTAGCTGTTAATGATTTGGACGCAGCTGAAACCACTAGTCAGGCATCTCAGACCAGCTTGCGGGATACTGATGGAACAGGTCAGATTACTCCACCTAAAACCACTGATAAAAAGGATAATTCGTCAAACAATCAAAAATCTCCAGCTGCTCAGAGCCCATTACCATCTCAACCCCAGACTCTTCAACAAGAATTTACACTGATTAATTTGAATATTCCAAACATTAGCATTGATGAGGTAAGTAAATAATAGACAAGTAGCAAAGCATTGGTCTTACAAAAATTAGTGGCTTTATATGATGGCTTTTTAATTAGTGAACCAGAACTGAAATCAAATACAGAATTATTTCATTTAGACTGGTTCCTTTGTCAAATATATACTTCATTCCATTATTGACAGTTATATGCAGTAGTATGTCATATTGTTGATTTTTTAAAGTGTTTCTCTCTACAAGTTTTAAATGTATTTTACATGTTATTATTTATTGATCATTTTTCATTCAGATGTGTTACAAATTTGTCTGATAGTCAGCATTATTGTAGCTTGAGAATTGGCTAAAACATTGACTAGGGCTAGAGCATTATTGTGTAGAAAAGGTTTAGGAAACTTTTATATAATTATAGTGAAATAATGGTCTTCATCATAGTTTTATGGTGTTTCCCAGAAAAATATAATAAAATGTCTGAAAATTAAGTAACACTTGTATTTTGGTAACTGATGTGATATTACATCACAATACAACTGGTAGTAATTATAATTACATTCTTTACTGACCCGTTAAAGGATCCTGTGTTTGTTATATTCCACAAATGATAGTTTACCTGTGGTGAACACAGAATGAATAACTTTAATTAGACATCATAAGCAAAATGTATTAAAAAGGAAGTAAATTTTTATTGACTTGATTCTGTCTAGTATATTCATTCACCTTGTACTTTACCAGATGGACCCCATTAAGCGTACCTGCACAGTGACAGCTGTTAATGGAAAGCATTGTGTATGTCTGAAGTTGACCTTTCCAGCATCTTATCCTTACAAGGCACCTCCAACTTTTCAGTTTTCCAAAAGGACAACAGTGGATAACAATCTTAAAACAAAGCTTATAAAGGTATTGTTGGAAATGTATTGTATGTAGTTTGTTTGGGGGGGATTAAAATTTTATTTGAGATTTTAATTTACATATAGAAAAATCTCTTAAACACTTTGAAAATCGAATCACCCAAATGTCTGAAGAAATCTATTTTTCCCAGTCTTAAATGTATTTTACTTCTAAACTATGATGTACAATTTCTGAGTGCTTGAGGTTAAACTGAAAAACTTTTTATTATATACTAGAAATTGCCATATAGATTGTAGAGCTTCTGTCTATTACCAGAGATATACATTATGGTTGTGTTGATAAAAAAAAAAATACTATATACCTCCAGACATTTACCTAGACTTTGGTTGCATGTAGTTTCCTAATGT